GATAAAAGCCCTGGCTCGCACTGGCCCGATAGTGGAAATGCGCAAAATATATATATACACACACACACAAACACTAACACACAAACATAAGGGTCATTATCACTATAAAGTGCCTTTGATACGTCAGAATTACAAAAAAAAAAAGAAAAAAATCTTTTTTTAATTAAACACACAGCTGTTGCAATAATTAGACTTTAGGCTGTAAGAAATGAATGTTGGTCGAGCTCGGGCCCTTTTTATAAATAAACTGCAAGCAAACAAAGAGTAAACAAACCTCAAATTGTGTCAACCATGTCATGGACAAAATCTAAGTAGTTTAAGTATGTTTTCATTGCAGTGTGATTGTAAAATGTATCTTTTCAGAAAGGACCCGTGTCTCTTTACCAGCACACTAAAAAACACAGGGTTAAAAACTACCCAAATTGTTGTTTTTAACCCTACTGCTGGGTAAATATGGGACAGAACAAATCAGGGGTTAAATTAACCCAAGTAATTGGGTTATTATTTTTAACCCCACAATTGGGTTGTTTTTTCTACCCAATAATTGGTTATTTTTACTTAAATAATAGGTTGATTTGATTTAAAAAATAGGTTATTTTTAAATGTAATTTTTTTTTCTTTTAAAATCATTAACCACATAAAAACAACCAGGTCATCGCCACTGCGTCACCCTAGTTAAAAAAGTATTTATTTAAATATAACAATTTGTTTATTTTAAAAACAGAATTTCTTATAGATTAAACCCCATAATCATATTTAAAATTATTTAGATTTCATGTAGATGATGTTCTAAACTTAGTTAAATAGTGTACATACAAGAGAGTAACTGATGACAAAGTTTTTAATTCCACAGTGATAGTAGCAATGGGCATAGCAGCAAAAAAAAAAAAAAAAAAATTAGACATACATGCCAGATGAGACAAAAGTGAAAAAAAGCGAAAGGCGGTGGCTTGCCACCAAGACAGTTTAGTGTGGGTCTGAATTAAAATCTGGAACAAAGACAAAATGTATTAAATCTTTATTTTATTATATCAATGCAAAAAATGCATTCATACTCACAAGAGTTGAATAAACTCAGAATGATAAAACTCCATTCTTGAGGAAAGTTTACAAATTTCTTTTAGAAAGAAGTTTATTTTTTCATATTCATCTTAACTATATTTAATATTGAATTTAAATAGATATCACTATTCTCCCACCATGAGTCCCACCAAAAACACAACTCAACAAATTAACATGCAGTTTAACTGTTTCTGTGAAAATTGCTGCAGTCTATTATTACAATAGAACAGTCTACGAAATGATTAAACAGGGTTTAATGACTAATAATAATAATAATTTAATGACTAAGAATAAACGTTTCCTTGAATGAATCTAAATTTAAATCCATTGTTTTTACCTCGAATCACGTTGTAATTTATTCATAGTTAAAGCATCACACTCAAAAAGGTCATTTATTCTGTTGTGATCGTTTCTGTATGAAGCAGAACATCTGAACAATAAACATAGCTTTATGGTTCATTATTTTGAGTAGTTTGTGATGCGGAGACGATGGGCTGTCTCTAGCAGTTTGCTGACTTTTCTCTTTTGTCGCTGAGAAATGTTCACGTGTGCTTATCGGTATTCGGGACCATTGCAAGGTTACAGCTGAGTTGCAGTTCAGCGAGAAATTTGCAGCTTTTTCACCAACCAGTTCCAGACAAAGTACATTACCAGTTCAGCGTTCGCTTGGGGTAAGGTGCTCAAACTTCACGCAAAGCCCGCTCTGACGCACCTCTTTAGCGGGCAATGGCCGGCGAAACTAACCGCGCTCGCCTCAGACGCAGCACGGGCACTCACGAACCGGGCAGCGGGCACATTACAGAGCGCCTAATGTGACTACACCCTTGATGATGCGACTATAACTTACATGGTTTACTCGAGTGATGTTGTGGACTAAAATCATGTGCGGTTAACATTAAATAGATCCACTTGTTAGACCGGGACAAAAATATAACAACGTACATGCGGGTCACACGTGATTCGCGCGTGGGCCGCCTTGAATAAAGCTAACCTTGGATTATAATCTCTATGATTTATGAGATGATACTATGATGAGAAATGATACGAATACAAATACAAACCTTTATTTGGCCTGAAATGCCGAAGACAGTCTGCTCTCAAATGTGCCTTCCTCCTCCTGCCGTGATCCAAAAATGCCCGCGAAAGATGACCCAGCAGGTGGGTTGTTTTGACTCAGCGTCACTGAAGTATGGTGGGAGATGTGCAGCTTTGATTACAGGTGTACAAAAGGTGGTAGTAAGAAATTTGAAAATTCAGAAAGGTCTGACCAAGGGCTACTATGGGCATAAATCTCATTTTAATTATATGAAAATGCAAGGAATCTGCGTTTAATTTACACTATTTTCATTGCATTTAAACAAATTAGTATTATAGCTGTCAGTATTACATTACGTCTATAAATGTTTGGAAAATTATATATATATATATATATATATATTTAATATGTGGCATCCTAGTCAGCCCCTGCTGTGAGTTGACCCAAGAAGCTGGCATGAAAATAACCCAGAAAATAACCCAAGTTTGGGTTACATAGCACTACCCAAAAACTACCCAAGACTGCAAAAATAACCCCCAAAAATTACCCGAACGCCTTGGGTAATGCCTCACATTTGGGTAGAAAAAATAACCCTGGAGCCCAACTTTACAGATTATGGATTATGGATTATTGTCTATATACAATAATGAAATAATGGACGAAACATTTATTTCCCTATAAAATATGCAATCGTTGCACGATCTTTTCCAAATAAAACCCAAGATCTAAAATACTTTGTCAAACTTTCAAACAATATTAACTGGCCCGTATTGGCTAATTAAGAAATCACACAAGGTGTTTTGCAAATATGCAAATGAATGGGAAGTTCTTTGTAGATGGTTTGTAACTTATAGTTTAGATTTCTGACTTTTTTTTATTACTATTTGACTATGACAGGGTGGACATGTTAACCTTGACAACATTCAATTTCAAACACAACATGAGGAAAAATAGGAAACATAAATGTAGTTACTGTGTCACAGCGGATGTTTTACCCTCCTCTGAAGGAAGGGAAAAACGGGCACAGGGATGCCAATGAGTACATCAGACGGTTTCTTAAAGGGGCATTTACCACATCGTGACAGGGTGGAGAGCAATTTCAAGGGCACATTCAAAATGAATAATACTGTTAAGAAAACAAAATAGTTATTAAAATTAAGCTTTTTTTTTGGTCAAATAACTTGTTAGAGACAATGAGAATTTTTTAAAATCTTTCTTCATTTGATCTAATCGACCTACATTTTGTACTCACTGAAGTCGGCTGAGCGGTGTGACATGGAAAAATCACATCCGTTTATTGAAAGAACATGGACAGATTGACAAAAAACATATTTCAAAACACATTCAATTCTACCTGCGTGTGTGTGAAGGTTTAACCAACCATATTGAAACATGAGAGTTTCATTATTTCGCATTATGTTCATAAAGGATTGATCCCGTCTTGTGGGACATCAAAAGCACTTTATAGTGATAACGACCCATTTGCAGTTATTTTGTCAATAAATGCAAAAAAAAAATATCTTTCTGGTGCAACTTTTTATTATTATGAACAAGTTTCATGTGCATAAAAAAGATGAACTAGATCAAAGCCAAATTCGGTTTGTTTCCTTCAAGAGACTGGGGACTACTACATAAGTTTGGAGAACATCGTTAATAAAGAAGCAAAGAAGATTTGTAATATTCCCAAGGACAGACTGCGGAGCGTGTGTTAGGCTGGGGAAGGCTTGGCTTCCCCCTGGTCAGAGACCACGGAGATAGCAGCAAAGGAAAAAACTGCACTGAAAACACGACAACTTCCGCATTGAAGAATAAAGTCACTACTTGTATAAGTATACCGATACCCCATAATTCAAACCATAATTCAAAGCACAAAAAGACGAAATATCAAGCAAGACAAAAAGTGACGGATCTACGAAACAGTAAGAGGGCGGATTAATCGTTTGCATGCCTGGGTCTCTGTTCATGGTCCTCGGGCCGTGGTCAAAGCATAGCGGCCGGATCATCTGTCAAATAAAACGGCCAACGGAGGGTGAGTTTGGGCGAGTTGTACGTGTCCACGGCCCTTTACGTGTCCCCCAGGCCCACCTCACACTCCCACGTCCTAGTACACGTTATTGTTTGGCAATCTCGACATGATTTCCACACAGAAGGCAGAAAAGACAGGTCTGGAACGCAGCAATCCCCTTGATTGGTCGTTCATTGCCGCAATGCATTGTGGGAAGCACACTTCGCCCTTTAAAACAGCTACAAATGGAATAAAACTAAGATTTAAACAAGCAAAAATTACAGCACGTTGCTCGAAGAGCTGGGTGGCGTCTACCTTTGCAGTCTAGGCGACAGTTGAAAATGTGGCCTACCATCGATGAGAAACAGCGCTCCTACTGCCTGTATAAATACAAGTAGGAGGATATGATGAAGGTGGGATTTCTGAGTGATACTACTTCCAGCCACCAGGGGGGCAATTAATTTATTTATTTATTTTATTTATTTAATTTTTTTTTTTTTTTTGCTTAAGTTTTCTGCAGTTGTCCAGACTTCAGTTTACGTCTTTCTTTTTAATGAATGTCACGTCAAACTTTTTTTTTTTTTTTGTCTGTTGATGCTATTAAAATGTTTGAGCATGATATTAGCCACCTAGGTCATAGGTTTAATCTCCATAAACTAATAAATGATCTGTAAATAAACAATTTACTCAAACAATTTACATTTTATTCCAAACTCTAGACTGACTTTCACTTTCCTATGGAGCATAAAAGATTTTTGACACCTTAACGAAAAATTAAGCTTATGCTGTGACTGAACTTTCTTTATTTTATTAGCTTTAGGAAATTAATAATAGTTTAAGAGAATATATTTATTATATTTTAAAGGGTGTGTTTAATATCTTTTTTCAAAAAGGTATAACAACAACTCTTGGTATAAAGTATTTTGGGCTTTTATTTGTAAAAATGTAATATGCATATCTATGCCAAAAAAAAAGACGTTGTATCTTTTAGTTTGTCAAACATTCAGTTAAATGTGTTTATAATCCTACATTGTTGTTGATAATCTCATTGAGAAGTTCCTGGATATCCATCTTGCCCATGATGGGTCTGAAAAACAGTTCTGTCACCATGCTTCTGGCCTCCATCTGTAAAGTGCAGGCTGTAAACAAAACGTCCATGATTGTCCAGTGTTCTTCGGAGCGCTGACGGGAGAGAATAAGCATGTGCAGGTCATGTGCAAACTCCTCCTGCAGTCCTGCTATCACTAATGAGCTCTTCAGTCCAGGGCTATCTAAAACTGATGGCACAAAAGTCACATATACATCATAATGTGATGATCACTTCCACATTTTAAATATTATATTAATATTGTGTAAAGACAACCCGAAACAATATAGAATTAATGCTACACTAAAAAATGCACATTTTTAAAATATGTGCTATTTTCCTGTAGCTGCACAGTTTTTTCTCCATTATTATAAACCATTTCTAAAACATACATTTTCATTAACCTACAACATTATTTTTTAAAAGGTTTTCTGATGGATTTTGAAGGAAATTAAATGTCATTAGTCCATAGTTAGTATTTTTCAAATCATATACGTACATTCACAGTTTTGGTTCTGAGAAGCTGTGAAAAGCTATGTTTGTTGATGAGTGTGCTATAAGTGTTCATGTGCCTATGCATTTCAGCATCCAGACTGTTGGGATTCTTTCTCTTATTGCTATAGTTATACATGGTACACTGGTTATATATTTTTTAATATTTAAATGTTTAGGCAAACCACAAGGTCGGTTACATGTGAATAAGTGACCAAAATCAGCTGCAGCAAAAGTGTCTTGTATGGGGCAGAACACTTTAGAGCCTAGAGAGAATTTGCTTTATCAGACCATCTTAATAAAATCCAAACTAAATCTGTTGATCCAGATTTTGATCCAGTTAGAAAATGCTAACTTTTAAAACTTTTAAATGTGTATTTTGTCAGCGTTTTGGGAATATAGTTTATAAATTCATTGCTAACATAATGATACTAAAACACACACACACACACAAAAATAATTTTGATTTCAGAGGGACTTAAAGGATTAATTCACCCATAAAAATAATTCTGTCATCATTTACTTATCCCTGTCTTGTTACAAACCATTATGGGATAAGATAAAATATTTTAAAGAAAGCTGTAAACTGATAACCATTGACTTTCATAGTATTTGTTTTTCCCATAGAAGTCAATAGTTGCAGGTTTACAGTTCTTCTGAGTTCAGCTGAAGAAAGAAACTCATGAACGTAAATTTGGAACCACTTGAGGGTGAGGGTGAGAAAGAAATAAATAAAAACTTAAGATCACAAACCAAAAATTAGCACACCCAAATTAACATGTTGGGGAAAATATTTGATAAAAATTTATTAAACAGGAAAAATCAAGAAATCATAAAATTTAGTTGATAAATTAAGTATTTGTACTTTTTTTTTGGATTAACTTGTTTGAAGTAAATTTGTTATCTATTCCTAAAGATGTTGTGATCAAACTGTTATTTTAATGGATTTAATTGTTTTGTTAGCACAAACAAAATATTGGCTGTATTCACTGAGATATTCCTAAATATTCGTTTTCAAAAAGGGGTGTATGCTGAACACTGGACTATATACTTTAAAGACTAGCATCTTTTTTAAAAGAAATGAACTGAAAATGTGCTCAATGTAGTGTCATTTTTTTATTTTAAAAAATATGTTAGGATTCTTAGGATACAATTATGAAAGTCTCTCTTTTTAAATGCACTTAAGTAGGCTTTATTGATTTCGCTTACAATTTTGTCATCATATTTTTGATACAGATTTGAGACTGTCATTTTGTTTAAAATCTTACCTTGACTGAACAGTATAGCTCCCTTAAGACAGGCATACTCTTTCAAACTCAGCTGCAGACTCCATACTTTGTCTAGAAACATCTTGAGTTTGTTCACTTTAGCCAGAGTGAGCGGACAGTCGTCTGGTTTCTGCTGACCGCTCAGCAGTATGTTTCTAAGGATGCTGCCAACTGGAAAGTCCATCACCTCAAAAGAGATGTTCTCTTGCGCAAGACCCAGAATAAAGAGAGGAACCCATCGTTTCTGAAGAAGACAGAGCCTCTCACTGGAAGACAGATTTTGGTGGGAAAGTGAGCTCTGCATGAAGTGAATGCTTTTCGTCAGGACCTGAAAAGCAGCAGGGCAAGTGATCTCTGGGTTTTTCAAACTCACAAAGCACTCAAAGTTACAGTGGCATGGTTCTGGAGAAGTGAAGTACGCAAATTCAGGTTTACGAGTCAAGATATTGAAGAGAATCCCATGAGGATGAAGGTGTTTTCTCATTTCTGCTGATTTACTCCCAATTTGAAATGGTTGATGTTGTCTCAGGTCTAGTTTTGCACACTAAAATGACTCCAGTTGGATTTCTCAGACCTATTTATAGCGGTTCCTTGAATAATCTGCAGCCTTGACCTTATTGAGAGTATCACTGTTTGCTTTGAAGAAAGAGGTTTCCTCCACGTGGAGCCGGTAAGGTTCACGCAGCAGGGGCTGATTCACGGTCAGCATAGGGAAAGCAGAGGTTAATGACATTTATCATGTTTAACGGTCATTAAATCAGCCTGTGCCAAGTCACCAAGGACTAACAGAGTCATATTATCTCAGATTTGGCTTTCAGTATCATTAAAGACTAGTAATAATTGATAAAAGTGTTTTGCTTTCCTTGCTATTTTATTTTAATTTAATTTAAACATAAGAATTAAGGGTCTAAGATGAAAAGGGAGTTTTCACTTTGATGAACAAAGTGTCATTCTTTTCTTTCTATACAATGGAATGAATATCATGCATCTTTTTAAGATTTCCAGAAGAAACTGTACCACAAAAATGCTATTTTGTTTAAAATAAATAAATATATTCAGTGGTTTAAATGGCAAAAAATCTTGTCATGTTTTCTGAACAAATAAATTACATTAAAAGACTCATGTAAAGATCAAAGTATGGCCAAATTTTACGCTCAATTTCATCCTTGAAATTTTTAATGGAAGTTAGGGAAAATTGACACATTGATCTCAACATGCTTTCTATATTCATTTTAAACTTAGTTCAATTCAATATTTATTGCAGATTCTGGATCCAAATCTAAAAAAAACAACAACAACTCATAACATTTACCAGACTATGACAATTTATAAAATATAATATATGTAATCTGTACAAATATGGTCAAAATATGCTAAATAACAATTGATAATAGACTTTGTTGCAGCAAAATGGCATGTCTCATATTTGACAATGTTTCAAGATCTTGTCTTACATTTACAGGAGGCTTGTGGCTATGTTTAAAAGGTATGTTCATGTATTAACTATTTCAATATCCTTAATACTTATTTTATATTATAGCGTAAACCTTATGAAATTCTGAGATAACAGAACCAGTGATTTGTTATCTTAGTCACTGGTTGCACTCTTGGTCATTCACCTGACTTTATTATATTAATAATCACCATCTGTCTTCAGAAGCAGACAAGTCAAATCAGGAGATAAGTAACCTCAGATTCAATAACATAATCTTTATTCAAAATGATAACATGAAAATAACCTTTTAATTATTGAATCATAGCATTTCATATTTGCAACAAAAATGTTTTACTTATTAAATAATTAGTACACAATGTATTATTTATAAATAATGATTAAATAGCCTGACCACATTGTCATCAACACAATGCATTCTATTAAGTTAATTTTTTATTTTCCTTTTGGCTTAGTCCCTTATTAATCAGCGGTCGCCACAGCGGAATGAACCGCCTATTCTATTAAGTAATATCCATTAATGATAAACAACTTTTATAAATGTCAATATAGGGAAAGTACAATTAGTTAACCTATAGTGGAAAATAAATTGATTTGATTGAAGCTATTTTGTCTGGCTGGTCTTCTGCATACACTGTAAATGCTTTTCTTACATTTTTTGTCTTGTTTCTTGTCCAAATTTCTAAAAGTTCTTAAATCAAGAAGCATTTTCTAAACAAGCAAAACAACTTGTTTTAAGTTATAATATGCCAAATTGAATTGAGTTTTTTCTTAAATCAAGGTAATAATCTGCCAATGGGGTAAGCAAAATAATCTTGTTTTTTGATTTGTGATAAGAATATTTTGCTTACCCCGTTGGCGGATTATTTAGCTTGATTTAAGGAAAAACTCACTTCATTTTGGCATATTATTTCTTAAAACAAGACAAAATGTTTTGCTTGTCTAGAAAATGCTTCTTGATTTGAGAACTTTTTGAGGCAAAAAAATCTAAGAAAAGCATTTTTTGCAGTGTAAAATATTGATTCGTTTTAATTTATGGTCTTGTTTAGCAGTTTACTCTATATGTTTACGATTTTCGTTATCAAGAGCATTTCATATGCCTTATAAAAATGAAATCTCAAAAATGTATATTCATTTTTCACATCACTCTGTTACTCGCATGTCTCTAGAAAGTTCCGCTACAGTAAGTTCCTCTCTCTCCTTTTGGAAGCTAAGAGCCGCCTTACCCACTACGATACATAAAATGGATTGGTTTGCGCTCATGTCCTTCAGAGCTCCATGATCTGATTGGTCCTCAAGCGTGTACGGGCGGTTGTTGTATCTAGGAAATAGTTAGGGCAACACACCGGTGGTAGCGTGATTCTTAGCATCACCCGTCAAATCGCCTATTTTATTTAGCTGTTTTCTTCTGGAATTAGTGAAAATGGGTGACGATGACGAAAGATTTGATGGGATGTTGCTTGCAATGGCGCAGCAGCATGAAGGAGGAGTTCAGGAGGTAAATGTGTCAATATTTGCAGCTGCATGCTAACAGAGGAGCTAACGTAACTGATGCATGATGACTTGCTATAATTAAAAATAATAATATTACAATACTTATATACCTTGTTACAATACTTATATACCTTATGCATATATTAGTTATAATAGCACAAGGACATGTTCAGCTCAACATGTAAACGGTATGATTTATTTACCGTAATTTCTATGGGTAAACGTTACTCTTATAAAATAAAATGTTCAAAATCCATAATTAATGCGACTGTCAGCCATATATATATATATATATATATATATATATATATATATATATATATATATATATATATATAAATGTGTGTGTGTATACACACACACACAGTAAAACGTGAATAATTTATAAAGGTAAAGTTGGTTTTATATTTGGATATTTAGACATTCTCCTTAATGATATATTTTCAGAAAAGTATTCTTTACAAATTTTAAATTTAAGGGAAATCATATTAGCAGCCAATGACTATCAAAGTACAACATTGTTCACAATAAATCAGATAGTGTTAATGTTGTTTAGTAGTTATACTTGCATGCTAATTTCGATCAAATATTTAAAGTAACATGGTAAACAATATAGAGTCTGCTCAATGAACAAATGTGCGAATATAAAACTAACTTTACCTCTATAAATGGTTTGATGTTATGATATTCCGCTATTTTTTTTTACTTTTAATTTCTTATATTTTTGCAGCTGGTAAACACATTCTTTAGTTTTCTAAGGAGGAAAACGGATTTCTTCACAGGAGGAGAATCTGGAGCCCCAGAGAAGGTTTTGTTTTGATTACCTTTATTTTTCATAAAAATGAAAGAAATTGATTTAATAGTTTTTTTTTCAAAGATAAAAAAACAGCTCTTGTATTTTTTAAAGATTAAAAAAATAATAATTTTAAACATTTATCAATAACTAGTAGGGCTGCACAATATGTCGTTTCAGCACCGGTATTGAGGTGTGATAATTTACAATAGACCTTGCAGGATATATGCAATGTTGAGTTTGTAATATAATTTATTATTTGCATGTGTTTTTGATGCCTGGAATTGTAAAATGATTTTAAAAGCATTTAGGCAAAAGAAATTGCACTACTTGTGACTTTAACAAACAATTCATTTTATCAAATTATTTTTATTTTTGTCATTCAATTACTGTACTTGAATACTGTTAGACTCAGGTAATTCTAAAACACTTTTTTTGTATCTTTTTCTTGATTTTATTTATAGATTCTTTTGCATGAAAATACTCAAAACACATGCAAATACAGTAATGCACTGCAAATAGCACTGACCACAACAAAAAAATGTGTTGGGGGACCCCAAAAAGTCTATAGCTGGTTTATTAGATTTTATGGAGATGCATATAGTAAACATGAACTTATCAATCATTGACTAAATCTGGGGTCCGTTCTTCGTACCTCGCTTAAATGATCTAAGATTATTTGGCAGATCCCGGATCTTTTAATCTTGATAACTGATCTCTCACTAATTTGGTTCTTCAAACGAGTTCGCGGATCAGATTAGAATGTCTGGATGAACTGATCTGAGATCGCTGCGTGTGTTGTAAAGGACAGATCTATCGATCCTCGAAATCATGATCAGCAATGCAACGATTGGCTGACGGCACAGCAGCGTAATGACATCATCTGATTAATATTCAATTATCCATGTGAGCAAAATTACGTCAAATTAGCTGTAAACGGCTTGTTAAATATGACACGCAATAACCTTCCACATTTGTTGTGAGCTGCAGGCTTTCCACTTTCATGTGTCAAGTGTATTCATCATGTATTTCAATGCAAATCAATGTATTTAGTTCCACATTTAGAAAAGATTTTCTTTATTATAGTAGCCATTTTTTAATCGGTGTAAAGAATAACTGGTTGTTTACAAAAGGGTTTTCATATTGGTAAAGGCGTCTGCAACTTTTGTGAAGCATCAAATCACCGGCATATTAACTATCAAAACATGTTTATGACTGCTGAAATGTATTATTGCTTTAAAAAAGTCACATATTGTTCATTTCTATTATACACAATTTGTACTAAAGCGATCTAAAAAGTTCATATCAATAAGCTTTCTCTTTGCACCACCAGGTGGCAATCTTTGTAGCCTACTTTTATTTCGAGGGTGCAGATTGCATACGTTTTATTAAAATGTATAACTTAATTTATTTTATTAATGACTATAACTTTATATATATATAGTTAAAAAATATGTGCCATTTCCCTAAGTTTATATAACTACTACTGTAAGAAAATATCAGAATTCGGAACATACTTTCTGTATTATCTTTGCTTGAACTAAGCCAATCTAATCCTGTTTATATGAATTGAACCTGCTCCCGATCAGGTTTGACCTAGCAGAACTGTTGCTATGACAACAACTCTCGGATCAGCTTTGAAGAACGAAACAATCCTGGATCATGTCAAATCGTCAATATCCAAATCAAGCTAACTGAGTAATCCACGTACGAAGAACGGACCCCTGCACATGAAAATGCTCACAACACTTGCAAATACAGAAATGCAAAGCAAATATCACAGACCACAACGAAAATGTGTTGGGGAAATATATAGATTGTTTATTAGATTGAATGGAGATGCACTCCAACTGCAGAAACATCCCAATTGATCTAACATTATACATTCTTTCCAAATAGAGATATTAAGTCATCTGGTGAAATTTTATTCATATTGCAATATGAATCACAAAATAAATAAAAAAATATCACAATGTTAGATTTTTCCAATATCGTGCAGCCCTAATAACTAGCATTTTAATGCTTGTTGCATTATATTTAGTAAACCGTCCTCTAAATCATTCATTGATCTGATTTTTTTTTTGCCCTATAGCTGGTTAAAGAGGCGTTTGCTCATCACAATCAGCTCGCCCTCCAAGTTCAGAAAGAAAAACAGTCTAGACAAGAAAAAGAGAGGAAGGAGAAGGCTGAGAGAGCTGCTAAACTAAAGGAAGAAGAGATGAAGAAGAGGAAGATTGATGCAGAGGAGCCCAGAATCAAAGAACTCACAGATGAAGAGGCAGAGAGACTCCAGTCACAATTACAAGTGAGAATATACATAAACCATTACCAACATTGTCTTATAATACCAAATATAACTAAATACTTTTGCACCTACCATTTACTCTAGATGCTTAAAACTTGCTTTGTGTGTCCTTAAATGCTAATGTGCATCGCCTCCTTGTCTACTCTGAGGTTGCTTTACCAAGAATGGTGATCCAATAATGTGGAGCTAAATCAGCGTTCAATCAAGCCTTTTGGTTTTGCTGACTTTTGTCTGCATGACTCCAATAAAGTGTTTGAAGCTGTTTCCACATTAAAATGTAGAAATCTGTCTACCATGCATATAATGGTTGTGTATAATTTCAGACCTTTTAGTTTTTCACGATTTGTGATTTATTTATTTTTTGCAATAAAAATGACAGAAATTAACTTGTATACATATAAACAAAATTATTAGCCCCTTTAAGCTATATATTTTTTCCAATAGTCTACAGAACAAACCATCATTATACAATATAAATATTTTTGTCTAGTTTTATTTTATTAGTATTTATTTTTTGCACTAATATTTCTATACCAGTTAAAGTACTAATTTTCTGTAGCTTACCACAATTTCATGATATAACCGTATATTCTGATAAAAGCTTCAGCAACAAATCATAACCAAATCTGATACCATCATGAGCCGAAATGTAATCATCAATTTTCATTTCTCAGACTAAGCAAGAAGAGCAGAAAAATTCAGAAGTAGCTGAGAAAACGGATGCAGATTCAAAAGACAAAAAAGGGGTAAGCAGTGTTTTATGATTTATGATGTGAAATGGTGTATTTTGAACCGCACTAGATAAGTGTGTTCACTAATGTATGTTTGTCAGTCGGACTCTGAAGGAGAGGAAGATGAAAAGGACAAAGACAAGGTTAAGCCAAATGCTGGAAATGGAGCAGATCTCCCAAACTACCGCTGGACTCAGTCCCTGTCTGAAGTGGATGTGAGTCTTAATTTTTTTCTGATAGAAATACAGTTTTTTTTAGCTTTGACCTAGAGCTGCACGATTAATCAAAAAAAAAAAAAAGACCGCAATCTTGATTTGACCGCCTCGCGATCTTAATCCAGAAGTTATGTTTTCAAGTTCAGGAGAAAAGCATAAAGGTTCAGCAACATGGATGGACACCTCTAAATGGCATTGAAATAGTCACATACTGTATTTATAAAGTATAATTCACCAAAAAAAATTCATTTTAGCCAGAATTGTGCAGCCCTACTTTGAACTAACAGTGACAAAGATTGTTTCAAATCCACTTAAAATGTCGCATGACATGATGCCAGGTAACTGTCTTAATGCAATGAAAACTCAATTCAGTTCAAGTCAAAATACTTTATTTGTCCCAATGGGGCAATTCATGATGCATTCTAGGGCTGTGCAGTTTGGGGAAAATATCTACATGCATTTGTATCTTTCCATTTGATTTGCGATTTAATTTTCGAGTCAAGCTTCAGCTAAATTCTAATAATTTATTCAAATTAGTTTTTAATTATTTAGAAATGAAACACTCATTTGTCTTTAGAGCAAACAGTAAACACAAATAAAGTGACGGTACCTTTCTGTAAACTTTTAACTCAAATTAGAGAGATAGTGTAGCTTATTATACAATCAAAAATAATAATTATAGAAATAAAAAACACCCATCTACTGGCCCAATCAGGGTAGTGGTTCCAATTTTCAATTTTTAGTGGTTCCAAGTATGTATGTATGTATGTATGTATGTATGTATGTATATATATATATGTATATATATATATGTATATGTGTATATATATGTATATATATATATATGTATATATATATATATATATATATATATATATATATATATATATATATATATATATATGTGTGTGTGTGTATATATATATATATATATATATATATGTGTGTGTGTGTGTGTAAACTAGTCAGCGATTAACAATATTAGCTTTACCACCCTAAGGACGAATGTTGTCTTCTCCCTAGTTATTCACACACATAGGGGTGATGTCTGCTTTCAAATCACTGTTCATGAAGCTTTAAACTCTTTATTAATCTTTTCTTTCAAATGAGTTGTTTTTAGCACATATGATTCAATGATTCTCCACTGGGGGGCGATTTGTGCAATACTATAAAATACACAATCCATCATGCAGGTTCAATGAGACTAACCCCCCCCCCCCCCCCAGTGGTCAATCAGTGAACAGGTTTTATCATTTTACCTGATCTCAGATCAGGCTTTTGTAAAATAAAAATGAATAATATTAGTTAGCTGTCTCCCATCTTTCGGGTGCCCCAGTTTCCCCCACAAGTCCAAAGACATGTGGTACAAGTGAATTGGGTAAGCCAAATTGTCCGTAGTATATGTGTGTGAATGAGTGTTTATGGATGTTTCCCAAGTGATGGGTTGCAGCTGGAAGAGCATCTGCTGTGTAAAACAAGCTGGATAAGTTTGCGGTTCATTCCGCTATGGGGAACCCCAGACTAATAAAGGGACTAAGACAAAAAGAAAATGAATAAATAAGAATGTCTCCCATTGGGGGCGACATGGTGGCTTAGTGGTTGGGTGGATTATGTGCTATAGATGAATTGGGTTAGCTAAATTGGCTGTAGTGTATGTGTGTATAGATGTTTCCCAGTACAGGGTTGCAGCTGAAAAGGGCAGCCATTAACACTAAGACGTACTAGTAAACAGGACCTGAGTGTGTATTTTTTGCGAGCGGGTTTGTGATGGTGGCGGGGCGATGGATCGTGATGCTGGCTCAGCATCGTGTTGTCTATTGGCCATCGGCGATGGACGATGGCATCGTCTGTATAAACGCATAGACACAGCATCATGCCATCTCTCATTCACACACATACACAAACATAGCCAGCACCAAACAAATAATTACACACACACACGCTCATGCTTGCTCGCTTGGGAGTGATATTGTGAGACCGCCCGCTCCTGTTCAAATTACACCAGAGTTACCGACCGCTCCTGCGCTTTATTCGGAAATTTATTCCCGCGCCGCATGAAATCTGGTTGGGTCCCGCGACAATGCAAAGGTACAGCTGCGGAAATGCAGGCCTATATCCAGAAGTATCGCTATAACAGCCATGAGGAAAAGAGAGGGGAGGAAAGTCACACCAGCAGCCAAGAGGAAAAGTTCACTTTCATTCCCTTAACCACAGAGAAATAGGGGCTTCTGCTGTAAGTGTCAGTGAAAGTCTGTCCAGAAAACACACACATGCAGTGAAATTGTGCACAGTTTCTGCATTTTTAAGTAGTTGTTGTTGTTTGTAGTTGTTGTAACAAGTAGTTGTTAGAGTGTTGTAAATACCCGTACTTGCCTCCCTCGCGACAACTCATATGAGATAAATGATATCAGTACATAATAACCAGTTATTAGTATTATCACTTAACCGACACCGAATTGTCCGCGTCTGCATCGTTGTGCACTGAAGAAACAATTAATTTTGACATCCCTATTATATATATATCTGTGTGTAAAAATGTCCTCTCTTTCCCTCTTTGACGTGTTCATGCAGCTGGTTGTGCCTTTCGATGTGAGCTTCCGTCTGAAGGGGAAGGATGTGGTGGTTGACGTGCAGCGGCGCACACTAAAGGTGGGCTTGAAGGGTCACCCGCCTCTGATCGATGGACAACTCTTCAATGAGGTCAAAGTGGAGGAGAGCTCATGGCTCATCGAGGATGGAAAAGTGGTCACTATCCATTTCGAGAAGGTGTGGATGAGATTCTGCACAAATGACGATGTTATGTGAGCTCTTGGTTTGCTTAGATTATGAATGATCTGTTTTTGTCCAGATAAATAAAATGGAGTGGTGGAACAAGTTAGTGACCACAGACCCTGAAATCAACACCAAGAAAATCTGCCCAGAGAACTCCAAGGTAGGAGCAAAAGTTTTGTTTTTAGTAAGGGTTTAATTCAAACAACAAAATTGAACTTTGGGATCATTTAAATATTTAGTGATTGTAAGACAAATGATGGAGCACACCTTTAATGCCATGCTGTGTTTTTAATGGGATCTGCTCAGCTGTCAGATCTGGATGGCGAGACGCGCAGTATGGTGGAGAAGATGATGTATGACCAGAGGCAGAAGTCCATGGGTTTACCCACCTCTGAAGAGCAGAAGAAACAGGACATCCTGAAGAAGTAAGAGTTCAACGATATCTATGCTTTCAAAACAAGCTGCCAAAAAGCTATTAATATTAATATATTATTCATGATAAGAAGCAATGGCAGTTAAAAAAAAATTCTACTTTAACTTCAATGGAACAAATAATATTTTAAAATATATTAAATTAGAAAACAGTATTTTTTTTGGTTATTTGTTATTTGTTTGGTTATTATAGTTATAATTTCATAAAACATACTGTACAAATATACAAAACCTGTACCAGAACACAAAATATCATTGAAAAACAAAGAAAAAAATATTATGGCCTTCACTACTTTATTAGCGAGGAGAGGAATATCACTTTTGTAGAAATTAGCACCTTAAAGCCTGATTTTTACTTCTGAGTCAAGTGATCGGCGTGACCCATGGTGCATGCAATGCGAGTAGCTGTGCATTTATACTTCTGCGTGCTGTTTCTGTTGCTCTTCAATAACACTTCCGAAACGCTAGTTGACAGTGAGGTGTTTATGTTCCTCTGTGACGCGTTTCTTCGCTGGTGTTTTTTTTTTCTGAACGCCTCCTTAATGTACAAGTGGTTCAAACTCGCTTATTTTGAGGCAAGAACCAGCGGACGTGCAACAACTTTAACCATGAGGTAAACGCAAAGCAAAACTTTCCATCCAGAGCTCCTTCACGGGACTCCACACAAACAATCGCTCCATCGGGCTCGTAAAACTCCTTTGCCTAACAAAACTCATTGCGGGGCCTGATAGAATCTTTTAAACTCACCAGTGAAAGGGTTAATAACAGTAGTAAAGCAGCGGTGGTATAGTTACTTTGCATTGCAAGACTAAAGACACATTTTTATTCACTCTCCTTTTGTAGATCATTCGTTTTTCCATCTGTTGTCATGTATAGCTGCACTGCAGAAAAAGCTTTTCTTTCTTAATCATTTCATCTAGTTTCCTGTCCAAATATCTAAAAAATCTTACATCAAGAACATACAAGAAAAATGGCATGAGAAAATAAAGTGATGCTTAAAACTTCTGTTTTGTTTTAAGCAAACAATCACTTAGTTTTCATGCTTTTTTTTGTTTTTTAGGATACAAGACATAAATTCTCTTGCTATTTCAGGTGTCTAGTATGTATCTTGATTTAAAGGGCACCTATGGTGAAAAATCTACTTTTCAAGCTATTTGGACAAACATATGTGTATATATAGTGTATAGACCATCATATTGAGCTGATATAAACACACCCAGTCCTTTTTTTTTTAAATTTAACAACATAAAGACGGTGGACCAATTAGAGCGGTTTTCAGACCGACCGCAACTTTACGTAGGAGTGCGGTCCCCCCGCCCACCGAATTGATTGACAGCTGCGCGCATTCACATGTCCAGGGAGTCACGTGTATGTCAACAAGACCAGACATACGCAAAGCAACCAGGAATAAAAGGTCTGTTCAGTTCGCTAGGATCAGCAATCATCATCAAATGTGATTAAGAGTAAGTTTCACATGTTTAAAGTGTTTTAAAACAGTGCTCGTGTGTAATTAATTACAGCGATTTACTTCAGCTTTACTTCATCAGCACAGCCGTGTGTCAGAACAATTATAAAGTAAGACGCTTCAATCCCGGTTTGTGGACGTTAAATCAGAAATTTATTTTGTACAATAACATAACAGATATCCACACAGCAGTGGAGATTAGCCTGAATCCTTTCACATTTGAGTGCAAATACAGTGCAAAGCTAAGCGCGGTCTGTCTGCCTCCCTGTTTCTGCGTGTGCGCGTATGAACTTTGTAACGATATTGCGTGTGACTCATCAACGCGACTGCACAACAAACACTGATTAACGTTAGTAAAGTTCTTACTGCAGTATTTCTCACAAACGCTACGTGAGACCTTCTTCCTTTAAGTCTGTCTGTTGTCTGACGCAGCCGAGGGAGGAGATTAAAGCACGCGGGAAGGCACGTAGAAACAGTAGGCGGGAAAGACTCGTCTTAAAGGCGCAGTACGACAAAACCACTCCCTGGTGGAAATGGGTATAAAACAGTATCTTGTAAAGGGTATAATGAAAAATCTGATGGATGTTTTGAGCTGAAACTTTATATACACATTATAGAGACGCAAAAGACTTGTATTAAATCTGAAAAAAGGGGTAACCGAGGTGACCTTTAAGATTTTTATTTTATACGATTTTTATTTAAATAATGTATTTTTTAAATCCGATTTATCGATTAATTAAAAAAAATCGACAAATTTATTGATTATTAAAATAATCGTTAGTTGCAGCCCTTAACTTGTTATGTCCACATGTCTCCTCATTCATTTAATTTTTTTGTGTGTTGTGTATGACCTTGCTCAATGAGCATGGGTTAAGGTTTCAAAGTGTCACATTGCAATTAGTTTATTTTATTTTTATCTTTTTTACATTTACAGGGCCTAATACTAAGGATTTACTCATTTTTCTCTGGCCAGACCAAATCTTTTCCTTGCCTCAAAATTTAAATGTCGAAACAAGCAAAATATATATACACATACACTTTTATTCAACATAAATGTCCTTTAAAAAACACATAACTAAAAAAAAATAGACATTTAAAAATGATTTACATGTATCTAAAACGTACAGTAGTTTGTCCACCCTAAAGGTTCCAGATCACCAGTTAACTATACATAATGCGGGTGGACTATTCAAGCAATGTTATTGTAAAGGCTGGTCAGCTGTGAGCACGACGCTGAAGCCATCATCAGTGAGTGAGGAGAGCCTGTGATCTTCTCATTCCGTATTCAGTGAAACGGCAGATTATAGTGTGTGTGTCTGTGCATAAGTACACTTACAGTTCTGTTTACTAACTGTTCTAAGAGCTGAGCTGCTTATTTAAATTTTCTCAGACATATCAAGGCAAATGTGCAAAGTTCTCTCTTACATACCTAGACACACGCACACACGACACAAACACTATAGTCCATATAATACCCAGAAACTAGCGGGTTTTTTTTTTGCACTGCAAATGATGGTTAACAATCAAAATCTCTCGACTTGCCTGGGAACGCCTCGGGATCCCCCGGAAGAGCTGGAGGAAGTGTCTAGGGATAGGAAAGTCTGGGGTTCTCTCCCAAGACTGCTACCCCAGAAAAGAGGCAGAGGTTTTTGAAAATTTTCAAATGATTTCCCCAAAATGTGTGTCAAAATAAGATTGGTCACCAAAAGGCATTTTGTTTGCTGAAACAGAGAAAGTTGTGGCCAAATTAAGCCTCATGAGTGGATCAAAACCTCCCCAACTGCACATAAGCTTAAGTTGCGTTTTTCAACATTTTTAGACTCGCTGTGACTTAAACTGAAAGGGTAATTAAAAATTAATAAAAAGAAAGCATTCAGTCCTTTGAGAGCTGTATACTTAAAGTTAACTGAAGCTTACAGTTCTGGGGTCAGATTTATAAAGTTAGCATAGAAATCGTCCTTACAGTGAGTGTACATTTATGTAGTTTGTTTCTTTATGATAATAGCTCATATGATGATTTAAAGTGGTTAATTTAAGTCAATATTTAAGTTAAATGTAGTAACTTAGACTTACAGCTGCTCACACTCTTGTCAAGGTTTTTTTTTATTCATAGATAACGTTTTTTTGGGGGGATGTGTCTTATGCACTTTTCCATTTGTTTTTTGCTTATGTCGCATTTATAAACGAGACCCCTCATCTCCTGAATGCGCGCGTGTGTGTGATTTGCAGGTTCATGGCTCAGCATCCAGAGATGGACTTCTCTAAAGCCAAGTTCAGCTGAGAGACGCTCGTGCTGCGTGAACATGTGAATGATCATCTCTGTACATGTGATTCTGATCTGCTTATCACACCATAAGTTCGAGCTGCTTGTGTTTGCTTCGGTCATTGTTCGCCTAATAAGTTTCACTGTTGTGATGGTGGAAAGTCATGATACACCATCTCTTGCTTTTGTTGTTTTTTTAATAAATCATTTCAAACCCTCTCAGGTTGTGCAAATATGGCTCTTATTATGGCAGTTAATGCTTTATAAATGATCCATTGATGCAAGTTTCGATGCAGTGGCTTCTCAGATGAGAACACATGTTAAGCAGGACCTAATTTTGTTAGGAGCAACCTGATTTATTGGTTATGGTTTGCTGTTTGTGGTTGTGCTGCCATGTTAGAATGTGATGTTTGTTAATTATTTATTGTTGGTGTTTATATGAGCTCATCATTTTTTTTAAGTGCAATATAATGTACAATATTAATATACAATGTCACATTATATATAATTCTAAGTATGTATTTAATTGGATAAATTTTATAAATAATAACATTGGTTTAATTTTGATTTCCAAGACTCAGGTGGTGTTTAGTTGAGTAAAATTCATTAAAATGACTTTGACTCGTAAATTTGACAAAACATAAACACCAATTATACTGTATAAAATAACTATTGTAATAGAAAAAATATATATTTTTAAAATTAATGGAAGGCAGAACTTTATATTTGAAGTATTTAATAGTTGAACTGATAGGCTTGATTAACGTACAAAGCAAAATCCATCTCAAGCACCACAAGATGGCAGTGTTGGCCAATAGTTATTGATCTATTTTTCTCGTTTTTGTGTGGGAGCTTCAATGTGTTATTCTTCTCTAGTCCACGGAGTGGCAGAATTGTCCCTCATGTTTTTTTAACAGACTTGAGGTTTAACACTAACTATTACGCATACTACAGCTATTGCTTACAATTTTGGCTACTGTAAGAAACCGTAGAAAATCAATATGTGATTTTGCAAAAAACACATGCATAATTGAATTGTAGCTCATTAAAACCTTGTGTAGCAACTTGTACTCGCTGTGGGACAAGGTCTAAAAACACTACAGTAAGACTCTAGATGTATCTACTTCCCCCTATTATTTTTAAACAGTTCCTCTAAGCTTTTTAAAATCCAGTAAGCAGATATTTAAGTCTTTAACTTTTTCATTTTATGTAATTTCTTTTTAATTTTTTTGTTTGTTTGTTTTTATCCTCATTCATGAGATGATTTTTTTGTAATTCAGTGTTTGTTAGAAACTGCTTGTAGACCTACACTTGTTTAGATTTTTAATTTTTTTTTATTTTTTCTCCAGCAGCGGTTATTTATAATAAGCATTATATTCTATTTAAATGACATGTAAAGACAGTTATATTTGAAATGAATTCAGTTTGTGTTTAGCAGAAACCCATCACCATTTGCTTTCTTATTAACCTTTATGTAGTTTTTTTTTTTTTTTTACCTATTCTGAGCATTTAATTTGTTTTTATTCAAAACACTGGTTCAGAAAAAGTGGATTTTATACTTTAACTGCTCCACTTAAACAGACCTACATTTTAGTCAAACAACAACTATGCAAAAAGGTCAATAAAACGAAACAATTCTTTGCATTTTTTAAACGTTTCACAAAACAGATGCCATTGTTGTCTAAAACAAACCTTTTTCACATGGGTCTGAGAAAACAACTAAATGTCACTGTAGATAAATGGGCAACAACAGCAAAAAAAAAAAAAAAAATAGCTCCTTTTAAACTGTTTATCCTTTTAATTTGTCCAAAATATATATATAACTTTACAAAGATTTAAATGTAAAACATATAAACTGTAAAATACATCCATTTATTAATGGTTTCTCTATTTTTGTGATTTTTTTTCCAAGTTGTTTATGGTTATAAATTAGGCCACATTATGGGACCTTTGTTTCTGTTCTGACGACTTTTGGTGTTGAAAATTGCAGGTTAACAAATTAACTTTTATTGTCATTTTAATCATTTGACTATAAGATTATGAGAAGTCATATATAGAGAATTAGGCCATAAAAATCAGAAAGGGTAACTAAATTTCTGTGTCCGTGCCATCAGAATGACAAGTCAAATTAGTCATTGTCAATACATCAGTGTACTCTGAAGCGGTGTTCTGATGTAAACTATGGCAAATTTTTATTTGTTTAATTATAAATTTATTGTTTTGTTTTTTTAGTTTGTACTGTAATTTGTTGACAGATCATGTCAATGTGATACTGAAAGGAAAAGACAGCATTGCATAGCGCAAAAAAAAGTAAAAATGTGAACATAGGATAATCTCGTTTGAGATGCACCTTCAAAAGAAAACGATTCACCTGAGAAAAATTGACCAATTGTAGACAGATTTAGAAAATAAAGTCTAATGGAAATGTATATAAAAATGCATTATGACAAAATATTGTGACAACTTCAGTCATTAAGATGCCATGAACAAGTGATTGAATGTTGTGGGTGGTGAGACTATAACAGAGACCAAAATAATGAATTCTGATCAACATGACATATGCAATTGATAGTGTGGGAAACATCAGAGAATTGCACATAATCATTTGCATGGATGTACAAACGCATTTGCAACTTGTTCAAAGGAATGAGAAACTGCTTTTCTGACATGCACAAGTGACACAATGATGATCTGAAGATTGAACAAGTAGTTTTGAGAAAATCAATTCTGATCTGAGAAATGGACAAGAGCGGCTGAGAAAAACTGTCCCAGCACCAGTCCAGAGTAAATCACTTTAAGCTATTACAAATGTTAATAAAAGTCACTTTTTACATCCACAGTTGTTGGTGGAAAGATCGAGGTAAATAATGTAATTCAAAAGCATACATAAATGAATATGGAAAAAATTTAATTGAATTATCAGCATTTGAAGTGAATCAAAACGTTTCTTTAAAGTTGTCCTGAAAGTGGTTCTTGTTTTAGGAAAACATTGTTGAACCTTTTTTTTTTTTTGTTCAATTCAAATGTTGACTACTGTAGCCTATATACAGTTAAAGTAATTAGCCCAACTGTTAAATTTTAATTCTTTTAAAAATATTTCTCAAGTGTTGTTTAATGGAGAGTAAGAATTTATCCACACATCTAGAGCTGAAGTCAGTATTATTGGCCCCCATTTGATTTTTTTTTTTCCCTTATTTAAATATTTCCCAAATGATGTTTAACAGAGCAAGGACATTTTCACTGTATGTCTGATAATATTTTTTCTTCTGGAGAAAGTCTGATTTGTTTTATTTCGGCTAAAAATAAAGCAGTTTTTAATTTTTTAAACACCATTTTAAGGTCAGAATTATTAGCCCCTTCAAGCTATATATTTTTTCGCTAGTCTACAGAACAAACCAACATTAACTGCACTAATTACCCTAATCTGCCTAGTTAACCTTATTAATAACTAATAGTTAAGCCTTTAAATGTCACTTTAAGCTAAATATTAGTGACTTGAAAAGTATAGTCAAATATTATTTATTGTCATTATGGCAAAGATGAAATAAATAATTATTTTATCATTAAATCTCTTATAAATGAGTTATTAGACATAAGTTATTAAAACTATTATGATTAGAAATGTAAAAAATGAAAAAAATAAATAAATAAATAGGGGGCTAATAATTTAAAAATTCTGACTTCAACTGCAAACATGAAGAATAACTAATTTCTTTTAGCATTGCCATACTATTTTACTAGTTATTGTGCTAGCGTTCAGCTTTTTAAAGTCTTAACTTGAATAATTTGGTTGGATGTTTTATTTGTAGCAAGTCGGAAAAAGAAATTCTAGAAGGGGGCTAATATTGAACTTCAACTTGTTTTAAAAAAAATTAAAAATAGCTTTTTTAGCCAAAAATAAAATTAAATAAAATGTAAATAAAACATAAATATCATATAGGAAATGCTGTGAAAATGTCTTAGCTCTGATAAACATCTCCTCACTGTTAAAAAGTCCTGGTTTCCTTAAATGTTTTAAGCTGAATCAAATGAACCTTATGAGTCCCTTAACTTATATTATGTTAAACTGAATTATAAAACATGATTAACTTATTTTAACAAGTTACAGTAAACTAACAACATATGCTGTCAGGACTAATTGATCATGTTTTTTTTTACAATGTCGGGAAATAAACAGTTGAAGTCAGAATTATTATTAATCAATGTGTTCTATTATTTATATTATTATCCCATCCCCCCCCCCATTTCTGTTTAACGAAGAGACGAATTTTCCAACAGATTTCTAAACATAATAGTTTTAATAATTCATTTCTAATAACTGATTTATTTTATCTTTGCCATGATGGCAGTAAATATTATTTGACTAGATATTTTTCAAGACACTTCTATACAGCTTAAAGTGCCATTTAAAGGCCTAACTAGGTTAATTAGGTTAACTAGGCAGGTTAGGGTAATTAGGCAAGTTATAACTATGTAGACTATCGGGGAAAAATAGCTTAAAGAGGCTAATAATTTTGACCTTAAAATGTTTTTAAAAAAATGTAAAACTGTTTTTACTTAAGCCAAAATAAAACAAATCAGGCTTTCTCCTTAAGAAAAAAAATATTATCAGACATGTAAAAATTGCCTTGCTCTGTTAAACATCATTTGGGAAATATTTAAATAAGAATTTCAAAGGTGGGCTAATAATTCTGACTTCAACTGTATATATAAAAGATAATATAAACATTTCTCAGGAGGGCTATTACTTTTGCCCTCAACTGTACTTACAGAATAAGTACTGATTTCTCTAGAGTAAAACGAGAGCTGAGAGGCAGTTATTCGTCACCCAGGCTTGATTGTATATTTGGTATCACTGCTAATGGTCTGAGCGGAGCGTGCAGTTTGTTAACATCTCTTTTGGACATCGTGTGACTGTCTACGGCTGTAGTGGCTCCTTCATCATGATGGTGAGAGTGTCTGTCAGCTGCATTAACTCCTGCAAACTAGCAAGTGTTTGTTGTATGTGAAATGGCACATATGTTTCCTAAAACTTAATAGTAACTTTGCTTCTTGTAGGCAGTTTCACAGCTCGCTCGTCAGAACTGTCGACAAACATTTGAGGATGTTTAGCACAAGAGCAGCACGGAGATATGGTTCACATTTAAATTGGTTTGTTTCAAGACCCTTCATAAAATACATCTTGTGAATTGTTCTTTGGAGGTTGTAATGTATATGGAGAG